ATTAATATTTTAAATTCATAAACTTCACATAAGTAGCTTACTTACAATTCACAAGTTAACACAGTGGGCTATTTTCTATCAGTTAAAATCTTCAGATCAAAGAGATAAGTTTTCAAAGGAAGACAGATGGAAATAAGATATCTCAAAATAAAGGAGATATTCACTGCTCCATATATATGTTCTGTCTTTAGATTAAAACATAAAAAAAGTGAGTCTTTCGTTCCAACAGACTTGGAGCAATAGCACAGCAGTAGGGCGTTTGCCTTGTGTGCAGCTGGCCCTGCCGAGCCGGGTTCGATTCCTCTGCCCCTCTCGGAGAGCCTGACAAGCTACCAAGAGTATCTTGCCCACAAGGCAAAGCCTGGCAAGCTACCGGTGACATATTCAATATGCCAAACACAGTAACAACAAGTCTCAAAATGGAGACATAACTGGGCCCGCTTGAGCAAATTGATGAATAATGGGAGGACCATGACCATGACCATTCGTTCCAACACTGCAGAATCAGTTCTTACCTGAATCTCCAACCTGCTGGCTTACCTGAGGAATTTTAGAATTTCTGCCCCTTATTATTACATAAATAATTCTCAAAAATAAATAATTCACTTCCTTTATCTCTCATACACGTATGTGTAAGTGCATATGCAGATAAAAAGTATGTCTATATACATATATATGCATACCTGCATATATAAATTATATATACTCTTTGTTTTATTGTTAGCAGAACCCAGGCTAATACACCCTGGTGTATAGATGCTTCAAGAGAGTGCTCTTATTTTCACTGATATTATTCCAGAGACACAGAAAAGTCTTATTACAAATCATGCATATTGACTATGCTAACAATTCTAAATCTTAGTAACTACTACCATATAGATTTACTTCTCCACTATAGTCTATAACAGAGGACTCAAATTCAGGTGACTGCCCATTCTAAACATGTGAATAAAATATCTGATTCAGGGGCTGGAGCCATAGCACAGTGGGTAGGGTGTTTGCCTTGCACGCGGTTGACCCGGGTTCGATTTTCAGCATCTCATATTGTCCCCTGAGCACTGCCAAGTAGTAATTTCTGCGTGCAGATCTAGGAGTAAGCCCTATGCATCACCGGGTGTGATCCAAAAAGCAAATAAAATAAAATAAATACATAAATAAATAGAATAAAAAGATTCAACATAGACACAGCAACAAAATAAAAAACTGGCTGGAGGGCCCCATAACTTCTGGAGAATGCTCTGGGCCCCAAACAGAGCCAATATCACTGGGAGGTCCCAGATGGGGTAGGTGCTGCCGTCCCACCATCTCCAGATGGAATCTCGGTGACCATGAGCTTCTACAAGCAAGGCTCTGGCATGCGGGTACCAGGACATTTTTTCTGAACTGCACAGCCGCTTACGCAACTGTGCGAATTTTCCTTATATGCAAAATGATCAATGAAAAGTAAATCATCCAACATTTCTCCCTGAAAATCAGGTTTGACTCTTTTGCAAACCACAACACCCAAAAAGAGAGAGAGAACAAAAATGCCCTGCCACAGAGGCAGGGTGGGGTGGGGGGATGGAGGTGGGAGGGATACTGGGATCCGTGGTGATGGGAAATGGGCACTGGTGGAGGGATGGGTGTTTGATCTTTGTATAATTGAAACCCAAGCACAAAATTTGTAAGTCTACAACTGTACCTCATGGTGTCTCACTAATAAAAATTTTAAAAAAAAGATTCAACATACAGTGACCTAGAGAGAAAACTTCTTTCTCTAAATTAGTAACTGGGGACTAGAGCAATAGTTCAGTGGATAGGATACTTACTTTGCATGCAACTTACCCAGGTTCAATTCATGGCACGCCATATGGCCCCCCCGAACCTATCAAAGTAATCCCTCAGTGCAGAGCCAGGAATAAAACCTGAGCACTAATGAGAGTAGACCCACACTGTCAGAAAAGAAATCAAGAGTTTACTACTATCTTGTAGGAAAAGGAATCCATAGTCATATTTCTCAACTTTTCAATAGATAAGGTGTATTAGAGATTTTAACTAGAAATGCATAACTTGAGTATCATAATAAAAATTCTTACAAAAAAAAGGTCTGTGTAGAGCAAACACAATCTTTCTGTGTGTTACAATGGGCAGAGGTGTCTCCAGCTGGCAGAGGATTCTCCAGCTTCTTTTTCAAACAAGCTATGCAACAACAGTTATTTCTACTGAAGTCAAGCTAAATCTCAGTTTTGATCAAAATCATCATTCAAAGCAGGCAATAAGTTCATATTCATGCAGCACAGCAAACTTCATTTATCTGCACCAGGTGGTGAACCAAAAAATTCTAATGACAGAAACACCAAAACTTCAGGTGAAGCTCCAACATAAGTAACACAAACTAGTGACCAGACAAAATTTACAGCACCTTTGAAAGACTTTATTACTTGAGTAGATCAGAACTCTTTGTCTGAAAGTCCTTGCCAAAGACATCTGTATTGGAATCATTATCAGTACAATATTTTCAGTTTGTTTTAATGATATTATTTTTTTAAATTAATTTTTATTAGTGAGACACCATGAAGTACAGTTGTAGACTTACAAAATTTTGTGCTTGGATTTCGATTATACAATGATCAAATACCCATCCCTCCACCAGTGCTCATTTTCTACCACCATGGATCCCAGTATCCCTCCCAACCCCATCTCCCCCATCCCACCCTACCTCTGTGGCAGGGCATTCCCTTTTGTTCTCTCTCTCCTTTTGAGTGTTGTGGTCTGCAAAAGAGGCATTGAGTGGCAATCATGTTCAGTCCATAGCCTACTTTCAACATGCATCTCCCATCCTGGGAGGATCCTCCAAACACCCTTTATTTGGTGCTCCCTTCTCTATCTGAGCTGCCCTTTCCCCTAGAATGCCCGGCTGGCCTCTAAGCCTTGGATTAAGTAAACCATGGTACTGATCTCGGCTATTCTTGGGTATTAATCTCCTATTTTGTTACTTTATGTTCCCCAGATGAATGCAATCTTTCTATGTCTATCCCTCTCTTTCTGACTCATTTCGCTTAGCATGATACTTTCCATGTAGTACCACTTGTATGTAAATTTTATAACTTCATCTTTTCTAATAGCTACATAGTACTCCATTGTGTAGATGTACCAAAATTTCTTTAACCAGTCATCTGTTCTTGGGCACTCAGGTTTTTTCCAGATCCTGATTATTGTAAAGAGTGTTTCAATGAACAAACAAGTGCAGATGTCACTTCGACTACACATTTTTGCCTCTCTGGGATATATTCCCAGGAATGGTATTACTGGGTCAAATGGGAGCTCAATTTCTAATTTTTTGAGAATCATCCATACTGTTTTCCAGAAGGGCTGAACCAGTGGACATTCCCACCAACAGTGAAGGAGTGTCCCTTTCTCGCCACATCAGCGCCAGCATCAGTTGCTTTTGTTCTTTTGGATGTGGGCCAGTCTCTGAAGTGTGAGATGGTATCTCATTGTGGTTTTGGTCTGCCAAATGATATTATCTTAATTATCCTCAGAGAAAGGTTATTGAGTTCCAGAAAGACAAGCTGTAGGATTAAGTTTTAGGTGGGAAGGAAGAAGGGATATTGCATGTGTTCAGTCAATAAGAATAAACTGTCACTGGCTGTTTTGTGGGGTACCAGAATCATACTTTGTTTTTCATAAATCACACTGAAAAATGGACTTTATTTTTCATATGTGAACAGAAAAGACAATCATTTTCACCAGAGGAAATTCATTGCAAGGAAACAGAAAGAAATATATTGCATGTTAATTAACATTAAGTTAGCGAATGTTTATTCCATTACACAAGGAATGAAAAAGTTTGATAAAACTAATGAGAGTAAAGGAACCCAGGGATTGGACAGCTAGAAAGAAAACAATCATCCTTGGGTGGGAAGGACAAAGTGTTTGGGTCTTCCAAGGAGATCAGGACCAAGACAGTTGTGTCAGCCTGGAACTAGAGTTGAGGATGAGACAAAGATGCTGCGTGAGATGCATTCTGAACAGAAAAGGAGAAAAATAACCCATTTCCTCCTGCTGCTACATACCATCAGGGCTTTCTACTGTCCATTACCTGAATTTCATGACACTGAACCTGGAAAATACAACCTGAAAAAATGGGAGTGAGAGAATAATGAGGAGTACACACCTTCAGGATCACCCCATAGCTCAAATTGCTGCCCCCACTCCCAGTTTTTTCTCCACAGCACAGATCCAGGAAAGAGTGTCACAATCATCTAGTCATCACAGTAAACCAAGAACCAAGGTGGTGACCAGCACCTTGTGTCACTTCCTCCCACACTCCCTTCTATAAAAGAAAAAAGTGATTGGGGTTATCAGACCCTGGATATGAACACTTCTGCCTAGAAGTGATTTCTCCCTTTGTCCTTTTTAAATTTTTTTGATTTTTCCTGAAGTAATGAAAAGTTATTGAGACGTCCTTGATTTATGGTTATGATCTCTCAACTAGCGAGAGAAACACATTGAGAAATCACAGAAAAATCAAACACTATCCCAGTATACTTGGCCAACATGGGAGAGGAAAATTATAATTCTGAATGTGGGTCAATCTTCATTAATCTTCATCCTTCATCAGGGGACCTGTGCAGTAGGGACCAACTCAGAATACTGAAGCGAGGCTACAGATACCAAGCTGGTTCCTCAAATACCAAGGAAGAAGCATATCTGAGCTCTCTCAGTTGGGGTTCTTCATCATCAGGATCATTTCTTAGCCTTGATGAGACGGTAGCTTCCCTAAGTGAAACTTTTATTCTGGGGTTTCAACACAAGGTTTTCAGCAGTGAGATAGATCTAATCCTGGGATGTGGTGATACAGATGTTCTGGGTAGCCGAGATATTGCATAGTTTATTGTAACTAGGGTTCTTGCTAAGCACTCGGTTCAGGTGATCAGGATGGGGTTAAGGGACCACACAAGGTGGCAGCCCCCATCTCCTAGCCAGAGTCCTTCCCCCTCTGAAGCACCTCTCTTGACCATCAGATCCAAGGTTGTACTCAGATGGGTCCTGCCTAGTCTTACTATGGGACCCCTTTGTAGGCAGCTCTCAGAATCTGGCAACAGCTGCAGAAATGGAGGTAAGGTTGCAATGTTATTGATCTGCCTAATAAGGAGGAGCCAGATGTTGGGATCTTCCATTATTTACTTCATTTCGCCTTATTTATATATAATATCGCATGGCAAAACCTGGCAAGCTACCCATGACTCATTCAATAGGCCAAACACAGTAACAACAAGTCTCAAAATGGAGATGTTACTGGGCCTGCTCGAGCAAATCGATGAACAATGGGAGGACAGTGTTTTTTTGTTTTTATATATGATATATATGATTTATTAATAGTGGCATATCATCCACAGGGGGCCAAGTGGTGGACCCAGACACCTAGGACCCTGCTCAAAGTTTGACTGAGGTGGCACTGTAGCACTGTAGCACATTGTTCATCGATTTGCTCAACTGGGCCCGGTAACGTCTCCATCATGATACTCATTACTGTGTTTGGCATATAGAATACATCACGGGTAGCTTGCCAGTCTTTGCCTTGCAGGTGAGATACTCTCAGTAGCTTGCTGGGCTCTCCGAGAGGGGCAGAAGAATCAAAACTTGGCCAACTGGCTCTGCCGTGTGCAAGGCAAACACTCTACCCACTGTGCTATCGCTCCAAAGAGCCCCATTTTCATTACTGTTGATATAACCTCTACCTTATGTTCATAGGAAGGTTTGGTGTGTGCTCATTCTTGTCCCCACTAATGCACTGTCTGAAGTCAGAACATGGTGCTTACAGAAGTGTAATATAAGTATCCTTCCTATTCTTTTTTGATTATTGACATTTATTTATTTATTCCTTGAAAATAGTAGAGAGATCCATTTGAAGAGATTTTTCAGCAGTTGAAGCACATTCAAGTGATCTGGAAGTAAATAAGCTGGGACGAAAGGAGGAGAGAAACATGAAGAAACATTGCATAAGAGCTAAAGGTAGAAACGGGAGAGGAAGACTGAACAGAGTAAAAAGATTTGAGAAGAATAAGTTTACCATTTAGTCTCAGGGAAGCTTGGGAGTCTGGAAGGTAATACAGTTGCTTGAGTTTGTTACCAAGAACTGTCAGGGCATTCTCTGAGAAATTTAGAACTGGACTTCAATTAACAAGGGGTTGAGGATCCCCATATCACCTTGCTGATTTTGTTTTCTGATTTGAAGTTAGTGTTGGGACTCTACCCAGTACCCTGTCTGAAAGTAGCCTGATTTCACAGCCCTTGACTGCTTCAGTGTTTCTTCATGGTTTTCCATCTGCTCCAACCATCACAAATCCAATTTCGTATTTGGCATAAAGCTAAACAGTTTCAGGAAATATCTTGTCATGATTCAAATCAAAAAGCCACTTTCAAACTGCTCAATGCCAGCTACACATTGTCAGAAGTGGTTGAAGAAAGAGGAAAAGACTTTTGCTCTAGACAAGAAGGGTAAAAAAACACGTATTTGAAAGCAACAGTGATTTCGTGGTGTTATTTCAAATGAAGCTGGAGATTACTTTTAAAGGTTGGTCAATCTGTTATGCTATTAACATAGTCTCTTATGGCACCCAAATTCCCTCTGCTCTGGAAAATTCTAATAACAACAATCAATTCTGTGTGTGAGCAAATTAATTTCTGAAGAAGTGTCTACTACAGGACCAGTTACTCAAAACTCCAGCCACATGGAGGCGGGTATGGGTCATCTTTCCCCATCTTCCAGCCCATCTCTTGTGCTTCCTGTCACGCCCATGAACTGCCTCCGGTCACCATTTAAGCGCATTAATGGTCAAGATTCAGAGACTCGCAAATGAATCTCAGAAAACAACATCTCGCCACAGAGATGACGTCAGACCCTTCGCCAAGCTGGTTTCAGAGCACTTCAGATGGAGCAGGTGTTCTCTGCCTACTTCAAGCGAACGTCCGTGGCCACAAACTTCCATAAGAAAAATCCAGTTACGCAGAACTGAAAACTCCAGGCCACATGGAAGGTTGGGATGGGACATCTCCCCACCCATCTAGTATCCTGACTATTAAGGATAACCAGGAGTGCACAGCCGCTTTTGTGGTCATGAGACATCTTATACTATTTATAACAAGCAATACGAAATAAATTATTTAGCTTCTGCCTGTGGGAGAAAATTCGAAATAATGGTGGAGAGGTATAATGGTTGTGGGATTGGTGTTGAAATATTGAATGTAATCAATTTATGTGAAAAACTTTATGAAAATAAAATAAAAAAATAAATAAAAAGTAAAGTGTAAAAAAAAAAGAAGTAAACACATCTTGACTAACAATCACTTGGACCAATCTACCAGTTCTTCTAAGACCTGAGAAGACAAGATAGTATTTCTGCAATTTTGGAGATTTTTACCATTTCCTTGTGAAGTGACTCATAGACCTTTGTAGAGGTGACCTTTTTAGCAATCTAAGAAATCCTGGATCTGCTAACAGGTGGTAAGCACACAGTCTCTTACCACTTGTTTATACTTCCTTCTGAGATGTTTTGAAAGCTCTCCATTAGTGAAATTCTATGAAGTGTTATATTCACATTACTTTGTGGGAAAGCATTTACACTAGGAGGTTCCTAAATAAAGTTTATTTTGTTTCCTTTGTGTAAAGGAGGGTGCAGGAGGATTAATCAAAGGCAAAGCGTGTTAAAAGGAGAGTGCTTGCTCAAGGTCACATGGCAGGTAAAGTGGTAGAGCTGGTCTGTAGGTCTGGTACTCTCAGATCAAGTCCTTTTCTTAGAGGTGTAAGAATATTTTAAGGACTTCAGCTGCCTACCTTACAGTCAGCATCACACCAGCTCACTGGAAAGTCATGCCCAGGACAAGCTGTGGAAAGCAAAGTCACTGGGGTACACATACATTATAAGGAACACAAAAAAAGACATTTAAAAATGTGTCTGAAAGATCTTTTTCATATTATGGAACTTTATCTGGATCAGCTCTTCTTTTATTTTTTCTTTTCTAAATTTTATTTTCATAAACTTGTTCACAAGATTGGATTACATTTGATATTTCAATACCAATCCCACCACGATTACACCTTTCCACCACCATTACTTCAAATTTTCCCACTAATAGTCAAGCCTGATGCTAGATAATTTATTCTGTATTGTTTGTTATGAATAGTATGAGATGTCACACAGCCATGAAAGTGGCCTGTGCCCCTGAAATTCTAAAATTTTAAATAATGAGGGTCAGGAAAAATCTCTGTAGTGAACTGGTTGGTTTTGAGATTCATTCATTTTGAGTCTCTGGATCATGGCCGTTAATGAGCTTAAATGACACCCGGAGGCAGTTCGTGGGTGTGACAGCCAAGATCCCACAGGGGCAGGAGATGAGAAGAAGCAGCCTGTCCCCTATCCCTTGAGGCCTGGAATTTGCAGTTACTAGTCCTGCATACCTGGGTTTTTCATTGGGTCCTGGAAGTTTGCAGCAGCTCTGATTCAGAGGGGGCAGGTGGGGGGATGATACCTGCTCTTATCTGAGGCACTCTGGTGAAATTGTCCTGGTGCGAGGTCTAGAGGCATCTGTGAAGCATGCTGCTCGGTTCTGAGATTCATTTGTGTGTCCAGGTTTTCCTTCTGATGTTCCTTTGAACACTGGATAACAAAATGTTAGGAGCAACATCCTAGAATGTGCTCTGGAGTGTCTGTTGGGTCTAGAACACGTTTTAGAATAATCTCTGCGGTTAGTAAAAGTTCCTACATTTCCCACAAATGTGTTTTTCCCTCTTTCTCTTTGTTTCTTTTACTTCATTTCTTTTTTCTTTCCTAGAGGATAACATACATGCCAAGAAAAATCACCGGAAGTATATATGCCCATAAAGAACAATACAATAATTTTTTTCAATAGTTTTTTATTAAAAAAATTTTAATAGTGAGACATCATGAGGTAGAGTTGCAGACTTACACATTTTTGTGCTTGGGTTTCAATTATACAATGATCAAATACCCATCCCTCTACCGGTGCCCATTTCCCACCACCACGGATCCCAGTATCCCTCCCACCCCCGATCTCCCCCATCCCACCCTGCCTCTGTGGCAGGGCATTCCCTTTTGTTCTCTCTCTCTTATTGGGTGTTGTGGTTTGCAAAAGAGGCAATGGGTGACAATCATGTTTAGTCTATAGTCTACTTTCCGCATGCTTCTCCCATCCTGGGAGGATCCTCCCAACACCTTTATTTGGTGTTCCCTTCTTTATCTGAGCTCCCTTTTCCCCTAGTATGTGTGGTTGGCCTCCAAGTCATGGAGTAAAATTCCTGGTACTAATCTCGGCCATTCTTGGGTGTTAGTCTCCTATTTTGTTACTTTATGAAAGAACAATACAATAATTTTACTAAATCCTGATATCTTCACTGCATATGCAAGACTTTTTGTTAGGAGAGAGCTTGCATCTGCTTTATTAAATTCTACCATACTACATCTGTAGTTCTTTCCTGAACCACCCACCTACTATGGCATTGTTCCTGAGTTTCTGTCCTGAACTGATTTCTTTATTCTACAGGCATAGTCTTTGTACTTAATTATAGGCATGTGAAATTTCTTAGGGATTAACATCAGGTTTCCAAATGTATAATTTCCAAGATACACTATTTTTTAACTAAAAAAAAAAATCAGTGAAATTTGCTCATCTCAGATTTGGTATTTGTCCTAGAACTGTTTTCTACAAGACTATCAACAGGGATTTGATCGTTACTGTCCTGGTCTTCCAAAATTCTAGTCTATTCTGTGGACCTGAAGATTGAGATCATTTGAGTCTACTAGACATTCTGAAAATAGTTCTGCATTTTTGGAGCTCAATTGTAAATCAATTTTTTAAAAAATAATATGCATTTTTCTCTCTGTTTCCCTTCCCTTCTATTCCATGATTGTGGTGAATGATCAGACCTCACACATGCTTGGCTGTGGTGCTTGTATACATTCTAGTTACAGTGCTCGTTAGGGGTTTGTCTTGGACTTTGCACATGCTTGCTGGGTTCACCGTTTTGGCAGCAGAACACATAAATAATTTTTATTTGTGTGCTTCTTTGGTGGGGGGGGGTTTATGGACTTTACTTGCAGTGTTCACACATACCTGGGTGCATGTTAGAGGAAGTACACAAAGAGCCCCATCAAGCAGAACTGCTGAAAGCACACTTAGAAATTCAGGATAATACTGGGGATCAAACTCATGATCTTGCTTTTAAGGCAAGTAATTTT